GAATTGTATCTTCTCTCAGCTGCCTTCTCCTCTGTCTATTGACCTGGGCTGATGGCAGGACCACTGACCTAAGGAATGGCCATCCATGGTCATCAAGGATGAACCAGGCTGTGAACCCACTGCCTTTGAGGAGGTAACGGATCATGGATAATGTGTATGAAAATGATGTTTGTCAGCAATCTATGAGCCAGCCCTGAAACACACATGGTATTTCCAGAGTTCAGCTGCCTCACCTGCTGAGGATAGATGGGGTATTCCTGGAAGAGGTAATTTTCTAGGCAGCCTGACTGCTCCGGAAGCCTGATCTTCTTACACAACAGTCCTAGCTTTTTTATTTCAATACAAACATTTAATGAAAAAGAGAGGTCGTTGATGAGGATAGTAAGCACTCAAATATTTTCTCAGTAAATGAGTCTATGATGTCATTGTTATACATACAAACATGGTTTAAAATGCATATTCAGAGATCTTCACTGTTCAAAACACAGTGAATGCAGGGGCTCAGACATACACATTTTCTGAGACGGTATAATACATGCCACAGATCCATATTCTGAGGCTTTTTTTTAATTCAAAAAAAAAAAAAAGAAAGAAAAGAAGTTAACCGATAGAAAGCAATTCCAAATTTGGCAATTTTTCAATCTATTTCAAAAACGCATCTTTTTGATGATATTTACTTTCACTTATCATTTATTTATAACAACCTTTGTTTCATAATTTCTCTGCCCAGTACAGATTAGAAATCTTAAATTACAGCACAGTGACACTTCTGACAGATTCAAAACACGTTGACAGGAGCCACAATGTCAAGGGGAGGCTCGCGTGGATGGAGAAGAGGGACAAGACCAGGTAGAGCTTAACACAGACCCGGTCTAGCGTCGTTTAAAGAAGGGTAGTGCCCTTCCTTCGTTTGCTAGGCTTGCTGCATTGCGAGTCAAAGGGAAATAGCTTCTGTTGATTATAACTGAGCTGAGTCGTTATGTCAACAGTCAAGTTGAACCACAAGGTGGTTCATTTCATCACTCTGTGGAGACCGACTGAAATAGCTGCTCCTGTGCAAGGCCGTGTGGATATCAAGAGAAAAAGAGATACAGCATCGGACTTAGAAAAGTCCAAACCTGGGAGGTAGGAACAAATATACCAAAAGAAAAAAAAAAACATAGTAGTGCTAAAAGGACATAATACCAATACTCCAAAAAGGTACAGAGTGGGAGTAAGGCATCCGGAGACGTAAGGAATGTACACAATAGTTCAGAGAATACATTTCTACCCAAGCAAATTAGATTCAAAATCATTGTGGGAGAGAGATGCTGCTCTCCCGGGTATGCTGGATCTATGTCATTACCTCAGGGCAATAAGCAGTGACAGATGGCAGATAAGGCTTGCCGTCTCACTGTTTTAGAATGAACGGTGACTGTTGCGAGAGGTATTCGGTGAGAACGAGACAGACTGGGAGGTGAGACGTAAGTGATTCTCATGATAACATGTTTGCAGGATGATCCAGGGCAAAAGAGCCTTTCTTAACACATCGGCTGAATGAAGAGGCAACCTTGCTGGCCTTGATGCCGTACACATGACGTTTTCCATTAGGTGAACTTCCCGTAAGTCCTCCTCTATCCCAACTCTAAGAACTTCCTGGGAATTATTTTTGTCATAATTCCTCAATCCTTGTTAGAACGTAATCACGGGTTGCTTTGTCATTTTGGTCCCTTATTTGTCTTTTGATTCGAAATGTAGAGCAGTTCAGGGTAGAACCTGCTGTTTGAAGAACTCTCCTGTGTGCCATGCCACCAAGCATGAAATGGCAAAGTGGCTATTCCACAAACACACTGATTTTATGTGTAAGACAAATATTACCAATGAGGCATCACGTGGTAAGTGAAACTGCATGGTTTTAACAACTAAGTTGCTTAATGTGATAGGATTATATTCAGTGCCTCAAGATCCCATAGCAGATGATTTGTCTTCATATCACTAGATCACAAACTCATCCTGCCTAACCAATCTGATGGTGGTTAATCGTTGTTGGTCATTAAAAGATTAATAAATGGTTTGCAAATAGCAGGTTGATACAAATGCAGGGAGCTTTTCATTCCTTATCAATGTGACAGTGAGCTGTAACTGGGGCTAGTGCAAGTCTGAAAATAAGTCTCACTGTTGGACATATTTCCTTGCAAGGGACAATGTATGTTCTCGTGAGACAATCATCCCAGACATCACAAAGCCATTCACAGGCTCACTGCACATTTGGACTGTGACTAATATTTGTCTAGTATTATAGGTGGTTACTATGGAGAGGCCTGGTGAGAGCATCATTGTCATTTCCTTGGAAAAAATTCAATCCACAGATGGATCTCAGTACCAAACTCTATGGGTGTCCAAAACGAATGAGTATTTTTGCTAACTAAGGCCTGACTCAGCCAAAAAAAGGAAACTCTAACTTAAGAAAGCTGTATTACACAGTGCTGCAAAAGCCGTATTGATTCAAGCACTAGATGCATTGGCACACAGAGATATTCTTCATAGGGATATGGTGAGAAGTCCTTTATTAATTAAAATGCACATTACACATCTTTTAAAAATGGAAGAGCGGTGTTATTCAATATGATAATGTATTTATGAAGCTGCAGTTACAAAATTTAATCTCTCGTGTTTCTTTATTTACCTAAATTAATTAAGATAAACATTCCATTTGGAGTGGGAAGTTGCTGATTCAAATCGTGAATTTTTCTCGAACTTTCTCTTACAAGAAATAAGCCTTGCTGTATATCTTTCAGTCCGTGCAATGGGGTGGCCAAGGAAAGCGAAGCACAGGGTTAATGGAAGATCATGTATTACTATATCCTCCAGTAGCTAAAGTTATACACCTAATTATAATTTTATAACCTTGCATTAATTCCATCCAATGCTTTCTAACATATGAAACCATCATGGCCATTTTATGTAAAGTCAGATATTGAAGCAAAACAATTCCAATCCAAATTGCTGAATAAAATAAAGTCCTCTCTTTCCTCTTTCTTCGTAGCTGATTTACTGGTTTTCAAACAGAGCAGATTACCTGGCAGGGCCAGGGGAGTATTACCTTTCCAAATCCCCATGGTTTGGAAAATTCTTACCCACATACATATGCACCAATCGAATCACAAAAAAAAGAACGGAAAATACAGCAATGATTAATTTCCTTTTTCCATTTAGGCTTTCACATGTTTTAAGACATTCATTAGACCCCCCAGCTTGAATCAGAGGGGAAAAAATCCAAAAAGTAAGTGCATTTCAGAAGCAGCTTACTGAACCAGGGAGAGTTGTTAACTTGTTATTATTTTTTTGTCCCCGAACTAAGAAGGAATTTATCTCCAGATTCTTACAGGTTTGGGCCAGTCTGTACTCTCCCACGTCCATCTATTTTAGAGTTAATTAAGGCTGTTTAGAAATAGATAGTGACCTAATGAAGATTGAAGCAGATCTCCCTTGCAGGAGACTGTATTCTCGCATACAAGTCTGTGAAACATAAGAAAGCGCCTAGGCTGTGCTGCAAACGCGGAGAAACGGGCTGGAACAGCTACAGCGACTCGCCTATAGGAGCAGTCACAACGCGTGCACGACCTGCCCCGCACCCTTTCGGTTTCAATGCTTGGGAGTGCAGGATTAAATTCATCTTTGCAAAATCTAAGCCTATTTCAGCAGCACCTCCTAGGGGCCAAGCGAGGATGCGAGGCTAGGCGGTGGGTATCGCGGCAGAAGGCGTATTGTTCCTTCACGTTTCCCACCCACAAACACCTAAGGCTACACGGCCCGGCAGAAGAGCAGCTTTGCCCAAGTAGTTGGACCACTCATTAGCTATCGGAAAGACTTCATGATCACTGGAGGCAATCGAGATTTTAAAAAAAGAAAGAGTCGAGATTGCAAACTGCGTGTTAAAAAAGAAAAAATCCTCCAAAATATATCATGCCTTTAAGAGCAAAGCTTTGTAGGTTCTTCGCTTTACACACGTAGAGGGATTCATCCATAAGGCCAGGGTCCACACCCGGCAAACTCAACTCAGCAGCGGGGTTTTCAGGAAGAGGGGGACCTGGTTAGGGAGGGAGGCAAGGCAACACGCTCTTGCCTGGTTGATGGGGACGAGCAGAGCTCAGAGTCTGTAGGAGTTGCTGCTGTCGCGAATTGTTCTGCTTTTAGACCTGCAGAGTGTGCCGGGCGGCGGTGCAGTGGGAGGCAGGACGAGGCGGGTGGGAACGAGCCGTTCACCCTTGGGAGAAGCCCGGGCACCCTGTAAGTCACCCACCCACCCCCAGTCTTGAGAGCAGCTCGCTCAGCCGCCAGGCGGTAGCCACACCCGCGCGTCCATGTCCAGCAGGGTTCGGCGCGCGCGCTGCCTGGCCCCCGGACACTGACCCCAAGAAATGCGCCGCAGGTGGGGGTTCGTGGAGGGGGACTCGCGGGGGCTGGGGTTGGAGTGGGCTGCTGGGTGCTGGAGGGGTGGAGACACAGTGAGAGACGCGCCGGGGCTGAAGTGGAAGCTTCGCCGGGTTACAGACGCCTGGCCCCGGGACTGGCAGTTCGCAGGCCCCTGGGGGGGGAGCTTGCACCGCACCAGTCACCTCCGGGGGGCGGCGGGGGGGGGGGGTAAAAGCAAAAACGGCGACGTGTGAGGCTCTGGGAAGGGTAAGAAGCTTCGCTCTAGGCTAGGCTGCAATTAGGCAGCCGCAAAAGCCCTGACCGCGGCTCTTCCCACCTGCTGCTGTCCTAGCTGAGCCGCAACTTCCTCCTCTCCAGCCCCGGGCCCGACTCCCCAGCCGGGCTTCAAGGGTGGAGGAGGAGGCGGAGGAGGAAACCCGGCAGGTTCGCTCCGCGGACAGTGCTGGCCGGGGGTGTAGCATCCTCCCCGCCCCTGCGGGCTTCGACTCTGCGATTGGTGGACAGCGGCCGCAGGCGGAGCCAGGAGGCCAGATTTTCGCACCGGCAGCTCAAAAGAGCGCAAGATATTGCAGAGCGCACTGGAGCCCTGGCCAGCGCGCAGCCTTCCCGGCGCCGGCAAGCTGGGTCTTGGGGATTCTGGTTTGCTTTGGCTCCCTCGCTTTCACCAGCCACTGGATCTTACATACCTCTGTGTCCCCCACTTCCACCCCATGTCCCCATGCTCCTGCGCCAGCAACAGGTAAGAACTGCTGTGTGTTTTCTTGCCTCGCTCTCGCTCGTTGCCTGTGTGTGTGCCGGGGAGTGGATTCGGGCCACCGTCCCTTCCCCTGCCCTGTCCCGCTGCTGCAGAGGTGGCCAGCTGTCAAGCTGCTGGAGCGCTCACCCACGCTCCAGAGTCCCAGATCATGCCTTATAGTTTACGCACCAGAACATCCCCAAGAGCTAAAAATACTGAGACATGCTTGGAACAGTTGAGCAATAGAAGCAGATTTCGCTGCAGCATCTGTTTGTGCTCTTAACTTCCAATGCACCAGCTGTAGCGAGATACTGGGTTTGGAGGCAAGGGCGAGACAGTCCGTGTTGAAGTCTCCAAGAGGGGAAAGAGAATAAAAGAAAGAAAAAGAAAAGGGTGCTTAGAAGTGATACGTCTAGACTTCTGATCGCAAATCTTAGCAAACCGTGAGGGTCAGCAGCATTCTAGGTTCTTGCTGTTTGTGTGTGTGTGTGTGTGTGTGTGTTTTCTCTTGATTCTTTTGAAAGTTGTAGCTGAGAGTTCTAGAGTGTGTCTCAAAGTTGCTTTGCGGGGAGACAGGAACAGAGCAGGAACCCCGCTTGGATTTGAGCCTTAACGCAGCAACACGTTGACATCATATATGCCACTCTGCTTTGAACCATTTGTTATTCTTGAAAATACCTAGCTTGGTTTTAGGGAAGAAAAATGAGCACAACAGGTTTATTTTGCAAGAAGATTATATCATCATATGAGTTGATCATAACAATTGAGAAAATAGAGATAAAAAGCAGGGTGTTTGATGCCTGGGTCTGCATAAGCAGATAGGAGGAGGGAACTTGGAAAAGGCTGTGAATTTTCAGAACTGTCGAATTTACCTATGGGAAAAAAGGCGGTGTTCGAAAAACCTGTTTGGGGTTAAGAAAAGCCTGCCTATTACCGTTTATCAGATTGTTTTATTTTTGTTTGTTTGTTTTCTTTTCGAGTTCATATTCCGTAGGCTGTCTGATATCTCCCTTGGCTGACCACGGTTGTGTGTTGGCCGAAAATGATTTTTGCACTTGCTGGCTGCTTGCTTCTGCTTATTTCCAAGTGTTGTATTATCTAGAAAATTCCTGATGCTCGCAGGAATAAGAGACATTGCCTTGCGGGTGGTGAGAGGGGTGAGTGTTAGGGTCAAGGTCATTTTGCCTTGCTGTTTTGCTCTTCTTTCCCATGTTTTTGATGACACTTTCCTTCTTTCTTTCATGCTCTTGGTATCCACAAGGAATATCTGCTCTAAATTCTTACATGACGTTGGCTCCTTTTTTTCTAAAAAGAACAATTTTTCTCCGCCCTTCAGACTCTCCAGTTGCAGAGACTCTGGCTTCCGGGAGTGTCCTTGTATGACTTTTGAGTAGCCTGAATGGGTGACCACATTGTTACCTGTATAATTTGTTACAAGGGTTTTTTTTTTTTTCTTAAGTGCATACTATTTTATTTGGAAAACACAAATATCTTTCAGCATATGCTGATGCTGAGCTCCATGCATTGCTGGTACCAATACTGGAAATGGTGCCCCCCTCAGTCAGTGGTCATCCTTCTGCCCTCCTGGCTTCCCCCACCCCCTTCTGTTTACTGAGCCTCTAAGAGCTTGCTTTGCTAGCACTAGTGTTCACATAGCAACATGTGCCCAGAGCACACTCAGGCTGGTCTATATGGCGTCAGCTGGGGAATAGCTGCTCTGAACACTCATTAGCAGATTTCCCACTCAGCCCAGTCTACTCTCTTTTGCTGTCTTGATTTCTTATCTTTACTCAGAAATTTCTTATGCACTGCACAACATGGTCATACTCGGGGTCACATTTCTTCTCATGTATTCTTTAGGATGTCATTTTTACAGCATTTCTTTGATAAGCAATATTAGAAATATTTCCCATGGAGAAGTAGCAATTTAGATACCCCCTTGTATTTAGCCATCGCTCTCTTTTCTTTAACATCTGCCCATTTACCTAAGATTAAAGCGCTGAACTATTTTTTTCCATTGCTTATGCTTAATTTTGGCACAGCCTATAAATAGTCTTAACATGAAGAGCAGCACATGTAACCTCTCAGTTTCCCAGAAATACTTTCTACATCATTTGTTATGGCATGGATGGAATGATTCTGTGTGTCTGTTACGTTTGCATCCCAGGCCTTTACATATTTTGGCTGAACTGGGAATTTGCACGTTGTTTAAGTATCCATTCTCCAGGGTAGTTGTCATTGAGGAGCCAATCACATCGTGCTCCCATGGATTCTTTATGTACCATTTCTCAAAACGTTATTTTGAGAATCTGCTTGAGATAAAGTTCCCATAGAACCTGGGAAAAGATATGTATGTATCAGAGCTTCTCCTGGATTTCAGTGAGACAGGAGCTGGTACGGACGCTTTCAGATTTCCTGGGAGCATTCCTGCATGTGGGCAGGTTAACAGCAAAGACAGCCTTTGTAGCGAAGTGACACAGTGAGCCTATCAAATTTTGGCAGGTTCTAAACTTGTGCTATGTAACCAGTTCCGCATGATGTGTGTGCATACATAAACGCACGTCAGTCTGTTTGGGGCATATCTATTTGAAGTGATAAAAATTTCCATTTTGCAAAAAAAAAAAAAAAAAAAAAAAAAAAAAAACCTCTTACTTTTCCCTTTCCAGGAAGAAATGGTAAGATTTCTAAGTGACGCTTCACATGTGGAATAAATTCTGTCATGAGCAGTGGCAATATGACAGGAATAGTCGCTCAATGCAGGCTTTATTCAAGGCTCTCAATGTGGAAAGCCTATTCATAGAAAACTGGTATTGTGAGATTTGCGGAATTCAAATGTCCTGGGGTCAAGATTTTTGGAAAGTCATATTTCAGCCTTTAGATTCCCTATGGTTGTTGTGTCTTAATCTGGAAAGGGTGCAGAAATAATCCAGGAGAAACCCGAGACAGTCTGCTCAAGGCCCCTAATGGCAACTCAGATGGAAGGATCATTTTGAATCATAAAGAGGGGAATTCCTGTTGTCAGTGTATAACTTAAGGCTCTGAAGTCAATCACAATTAAAACATACAAACTCTCATTAAATGAGGCTCTCATCACCTCTCTCCCCACTCCCCTGCCTTTTCATTCTGGAAAGTTCATCTGCATTTGCATTTGGCGTTGTGTTGCTATCTCTCTGTCTTTGCATACAAACACTTGGCAATTTCATGTGAGCCAAAAAAAAAAAAACCGCTGAAATTGAAGTCATTTTTTTCCCCTATGGCTAAGATCTAGAGCCCTGAGGAATGTGGTTCATTTTTTTTTTCTTTTGTCCACGTGCAAACTTCACAGAAAAGCAGACAAAACATTGAAGCAGGTAGAAGGTTAGGAAGGCACAGTAACTTCTTTTTGTAAAGTAATTCAAGGCACTTTCAAATTGGGCATCATTTAGGTGTCAAAAGCTGCCAAAATGTAACACACATTGCAATTTTCACAGATGACTAATCCCAGGAAAAATGTGTTGGGGCACATTCTTGCATAATAACTTGGATAAAGAAGGAGAAGTTAAAAGACTATAACGAGGTATTTTCAAATACAATGCACCTTGCCTCTTCTTTAAGCGGCTGCTCTAAAGCAAAGAGAAATGGTTTACTTCATTTCTTTGCAGCTGGCTTGGCTGGAATTGATTTTACTAACTGCTCAGTCATACTCTGACCTTAGGAGAAAAAAAAAAAGTAGACGTTTTATTATCAAAGCTGCAACAAATTTCTGATTAATTCTATGTGCTGTGTATCATCTTCCTTAGATATGAAAGATGGGTTTGATTATTTGAAAAGTTGAGAATCACCTTTATGTTTATTCTCAGGGAACACCTTAGGATTTCTTTAATGCTTTTTCTAGTAACAGAAAAGAAAAATAGTTTTGTTGGAGTAAAAATAGAAAGGAAAGCTAAAGAGATTGGTTTGTGTGTGTGTATGGGGGGGGGGTTGTTTTGTTTTCACTAAGAGAGAATGAGGCGAAAACTAGCATTAGTTCCTATTAAGTAAAGGTGAGTGCCTTCTCCATAGGAACCTACAGCAAACAACCGCCCTCGAAGTGAAAGTGAGCAGGTTGGCATTTATGATCTGCTTTGATGGCAACATTTTCTCTGTTTGGGAGCACGTAGCAATGGCCCCCACAGGCAATGAGTTCCTGTCCTTTCTCAATCCACTGAAGACCTGGTCCTCTGGCACAGAGGTGCTTACTTCCTAGCCTGTCTTTACACCTGGCAGTCCCACCTCAGGAGAATTACAGAACCCCTATTGCTAGGCAACAGAATTGCTCTCTGTCCCCTAGAGCAAGGCTGCATCTTCAAGTCCCAATATCTTGCTCTAAGAGAGATGTTATCGGGTGTTTCTGCATAGTGGCTGCTGAAAGTGTGGGAAGTGATGGAACAGGCCCAAACAGTAACCAGAAATTGGGATCCATTTCAGATGATCATAAGGACCGTCTGCAAAGTTTTTGTCATCTAAACAAAATAAGCTCTGCCTGCTGATTTCAAGCTTGTCATCAGAGGCCCATCATGCACCTCCAACTCAATATTAATGCTGAATTATAGTAAGATGCTCTCTGAATCTTATTTCCAGAAGCTTTGTGACAAACGCTGGGATCAGAAAGTTTTCCTTCTGCTGCTGAATAACTTTGGACACTAGCAAGCAGGGCAAGCAAAAGTTGAGAATGTCGGAGGACAAGTAAGCCTGAAACATACAGTATACAGAACAGTAAACATTAGCAGAAGACAGGAAAAGAGAGGGGAGGGGAAGAGAAAGAAAGAAGAGACTTGAAATTTTTGTTGAGTGAATATCACATACAATTATTTTGTATTTAGTAACTTTCTGATTTGAAACACAGTTTTGAAAAACACAGTTTCCCATTATCTCCCGGAAACTTTATATCTGATTTGGTGCTTTCATTGGGATCTGTTGCCTTGGACAGTAGATTCTTCCAGAATGGTTTGTCCCCTAATTAACGACTTCTTGTTTCTCACAGGGCTCGATCTCCGGATAGCATTTGACTTAAGGAGAGCCTGCTGCATGTCAGTAGACAGACCTTGCTAGAACCCCTCGGCTCCTGGAGACACTCATCTCGCCTCCTTTTGTGTGTGGGTGTGTCCTCACTGAGCATTCAAAACTGTTTCTCCAAAGGTTTTTACAAAAACTCAGACTGTTTTCCAAAGCAGAAGCGCTGGCGTCCACGGCAGAAGCGATGGGCAGCGTGCGAACCAACCGCTACAGCATCGTCTCCTCGGAGGAGGATGGCATGAAGCTGGCCACCATGGCGGTGGCAAATGGCTTTGGGAACGGCAAGAGTAAGGTGCACACTCGGCAACAGTGCAGAAGCCGCTTCGTGAAGAAAGATGGCCACTGCAACGTCCAGTTCATCAACGTGGGCGAGAAGGGTCAACGGTACCTCGCTGACATCTTCACCACGTGTGTGGACATTCGCTGGCGCTGGATGCTGGTTATCTTCTGCCTGGCGTTTGTTCTCTCGTGGCTGTTTTTTGGCTGCGTGTTCTGGCTGATAGCTCTTCTCCACGGAGACCTCGATGCTTCAAAGGCGGGCAAAGCGTGCGTGTCCGAAGTCAACAGCTTCACAGCTGCCTTCCTCTTCTCCATCGAGACCCAGACGACCATAGGCTACGGCTTCCGCTGTGTCACGGACGAATGCCCGATTGCGGTGTTCATGGTGGTGTTCCAGTCCATTGTGGGCTGCATCATCGACGCCTTCATCATTGGCGCCGTCATGGCGAAGATGGCCAAACCCAAGAAGAGAAACGAGACTCTGGTCTTCAGTCACAACGCTGTGATCGCCATGAGAGATGGCAAGCTGTGTCTTATGTGGCGGGTGGGCAACCTCCGCAAGAGCCACTTGGTGGAAGCGCACGTCCGAGCTCAGCTTCTCAAATCCAGAATAACTTCCGAAGGGGAGTACATCCCCCTGGATCAAATAGACATCAATGTGGGCTTTGACAGTGGGATCGATCGTATATTTCTCGTGTCTCCCATCACGATAGTGCATGAAATAGATGAGGACAGCCCTTTATACGACTTGAGTAAACAGGACATTGACAACGCAGACTTTGAAATCGTTGTCATACTGGAAGGCATGGTGGAAGCCACCGCCATGACCACACAGTGCCGCAGCTCGTACCTGGCAAATGAAATCCTTTGGGGCCACCGTTATGAACCTGTCCTCTTTGAAGAGAAGCACTATTACAAAGTAGACTATTCGAGGTTCCACAAGACCTACGAAGTCCCCAACACGCCCCTATGTAGTGCCAGAGACTTAGCAGAAAAGAAGTACATCCTCTCGAATGCTAATTCATTTTGCTATGAAAATGAAGTCGCCCTCACAAGCAAAGAGGAAGATGACAGTGAAAACGGGGTTCCAGAAAGCACAAGTACGGACACCCCACCTGATCTTGATCTTCACAACCAGGCCAGCGTACCTCTAGAACCCAGGCCCTTACGGCGAGAGTCAGAAATATGACTGACTGTTTCTTTCTCTGGAATATTTACTTTTCTACATAGTCTGTTGGTCAGAGGCCTGAAACAGTTATACGGATGACGGTACCGGTCAAGAGGTGGATCGACTCTAGTGGCCACGAGAGACTGGGGCTGGCACCACGGTTTTCAAGGAAAGACTGTAAGCTCGATGGTTGACATTAAGCACTAAACATGCCTCCGCATGACCCGATGGCACATATATGTTGTAGAATAAGTTATGGGTTTTTATGTATTGTTTTGTGTTTGGACAAAACTTGAACTTGCAGGCAAGCCTTGGTTGGGTATCTGATTTATCCAGAGTGCTTCTCTTTAGGGAACAAGAATGTTTTTAATGGCATAACAAAGGCAAGACTCGGCCTTAATTTTTTGCAAAGCTGCTAACTACATGAACACAAATTGTATTTTTGTTGCAGTGTAGTTTTTCTTTTATGTAAGTTAAAAGTCAGTGTTGAACTTTGTTGAAAGCTCATATGTGCTTCAAAGTGGCAAGTATTTGGCTATTAACTGCCAAGATGAGAGCCTGATTTTCTGAGGCCAGTAATTTGTTTGCTAGCATTGATTTTTTTTTTCCCTCTCTCTTTGTTACATAAGGGCATTATGTAACACTAGCCAAATGGTAGCCTCTGGGTTTTTTTTTTTTTTCCTCTCTCTCTCTTTCTCCATGATATTAATGGGTTAGCTCAAAATTTAAGTTAGACTACCTAAAATAAATACCAAAGATCATGCATATTTTTGCACAGTGACGATTATGCTTAAAAGGAGGCCTACGGGCCGTCTTGAAATTGAGACGGTAAACTTGAACCTCATCAAGACCTAGAACCACCTGTTCCTGTTCATTTTGCACCTTATTCAGAAAACAGAGCATCAGTCATGTAGATGTGAATGACCGTACTGTTTTTAAAATTTTGTTCTTTCATAAAACATTGTTTATTAGAAAGGAAGTTAAAAAAAAAAAGGAAAGTAAGATTCACTCCCACACAAACACACACACGATAGTATCAACATGGTTGCGTAAAGTAAGAGATGGTGACATACTGTTAGATTTCTCTGATATTTTATGTTTTGCACATTCCATGATTTATTTCAGAAGACAAGATCTTGGTAGAACTTTGTTGGCATCCTCAAAACTGAGCCATCCAACATGAAAGATAAATAGGCTTAAGCCTTTGTGCTGGAATTCCTTGCTTGGAGTGTCAGGACATTTCCAGCTTGAGTCCCCCCTCGAGAAGAGATTCAACTCTTGGCCTGTAGGTTGTTCTTCTGATCAATCTGTCTGCAGCAGCAAGATCTGCAGTATCACAGAAGGCTGCGGATGCCCAAGTGGGGAAGAAAGGAGGTGTGGACAAGCCTGTGTGATTCCACAGCACAGCTCAGCTCCAGTACTCAAGAGTGAGAGGAAAGCTGCCTGTTTGATGCTACAGGACTGGAACATGAATGTCTCAGGATCGTAGCATCAAACAGAGGCACAGAAATATAACGCAATCACAAACAAAGGAGATGACAGCCTTGACAGGGTCATTTCCCCTTTGTGACTGCGTACTCGCAACGGAGCATGAGCTGACCACTTCTTTCCTGGAACCCTACAGCAGTTGAGTAAGGACACCGTGTTTTGCAGAAGCCTCTCTACCAGGCTGACTGCCTTGCTAGAAACATTTTCTTCTCTGCTTTAGATCAATAATGAACCTTCTTTTTGCAAATTTGATTTTGGTTTCATGTTTATTTCCTATTAATAGTGAATTCTGAGGTTACTGACTTTTTAATTGGAGTCTCAAAATCAACTCTCTTGTGGTATTATACCCCATGTATGCCATTAAAAAACAGCTTGTTCTAGAATCATGTATTTGTAATTGGATGTCTGTGATAGTCTCTTGAACGGCCACATCCGAATACAGTGCCTGCAAAACTATGATAGTTTCTGCTGTTTGCAGCCTTCAAGGTCTATGGAATTAAAAACCACACAGTGGTTTTCGGAGAGACCAAGAAAGAGATGTTGAAACAAGTTGTGTTATTTTAAATCTGAATTCAAAGGCAGGTTTGGGAAGTTGTTGAAAAGAGTTGGAGGGACTGCAGATTGGAGAAGAGAGTTTGTGGAAGAGGTGATGATTTGGTCACTGACAATGAAAGACTATTAAGGGCATCAGCTGCTGCTATTAAGAGGTTTTGCAAAGGAAAAAAAAATAATCAAACCAAAGAGTATTCAGTGATATGTAAATTAAATGAAGATGCAGTGGAGAAAGGGGGTGACCACAGGAGAGGTTCCCCCCAAACATACAGTGCTGCCACTTAAAAAGACTTGAGCTCTGTGAAAAGGGGTGGGTGTGGGGGGCAAGAAAGAGGGAGGGAGATATTTCAGCTTATTTCTGAAAGGAGAAAAAAAATCTAAAATTTCTGGTGCACAGGTTTGTTTTTTTTTTTTTTCAAGAATATTTTGCAGAAGCTATGTTTTTAAAGTGTACATTTTATAAAGTTTATCAGATATTTTCATATTTAAAGCCAAATGTAAATAGAAGTCTGTAAAGGGAAAAAAAATTGCCATAGAAAGTGTGATTTCAATGCAGCAATCTCGGAGAGCTAGCACCTATATGCTACCGGTTAGCATGGTTTTAGCAAATATTTCCCGGCTTTATAAGGTTCGTATTGCTATGTTCTCTTATTTATTTCAGCATGGGCTGTTCATTTGAAAGCTTCTTTTAGTTATTGGCATTTTAATAGTTATGAGCTTTAAATCGCTTTTTTTTTTTTTTTTTTTGTCAAGAGCCAAGACACAGGTAATGCACGCCATTTATTGCTGCGTTTTACCTTCAAAATAATGGTCCTCATTGACGGGGTCTCCTTAACTGGTGCACACATGTCACTAGAATGCAGACAGAAGGGACTCACGGTGAATATCTGGGGTTGATCCCCAGATGCAAGTTGCTTCTCTATTGCAAGCAAACCCCTCATTACTTAGCTAGGATGTAATCCCTTTTAAAGAATGTTTGCCCATATCGGGATGGGCACTATATTTTTTGGGGAAGGCATAGATTCCTGGTTATCCTATTTTTAAATAAAGGGTAGACAAAGCGAATTCTATTTTGATTATTGAGAAAGGAATAGTTTTCTATCCCTCTAAGTGTATACTTGAATCAGACATTTTGAGGATGTCATTATAGCACTGTAGTTATTTCCAAATTCCTAGAGAATTTTTTTTAAATTTACGTTGTTTTTGTTCTATTAATGCATTATTTCTTCCCTGCCCTTGTATTCTTCTCGATCAATTCCCATCCCAAATCCTGAGGTTTATGTGATGAGCTGTCCCCCCAATCATGTTCACTTTGCAAATAGCACATGTCACTTCATATTTCATAGTAAACCACTCATAATGGCAAAAGGCTTGTCCTAGGAAGTTGAGTGAGTTCTTTTTTACTCTGTGTCCAGCAATATTAAGCTGGGAAATTAAAGTGTTCTATAATCACCTCTCATCCCAACCTTTGGCAAACTAGAATTTCTTTTCTAGTCATGTTAGGGGAGTGGAACAACCCTGGTCTTTGACAATCATAATTGTTATTATTTTCCCACTTGCCATCTTTTTGTATCTAAAGTCTTCCTATTGTACTGCACAAACCATGGATTGTACATATTTTTATATGTTATGTCTTATTTTATTATTTCTGAATAAAAAATTAAAAACCAAAAACAAAGTGGTGCATGAATCTTTGGGCTTCCTGCATGAGCACTGTGGAAATGCAGCACCATAAAGCCAATGTTCCCACACAATGGGACACAAACCTTGCTAGTTTGGATGAATGGAGCCATAGAAATTGCCTGGATGGACAGGTGCACTGCGATAGCAGATTAGTTTAATCCAACTTAGAGGAAACCAAGCTCATATTTTGTTTTGGGCCAGAATCGTCTAAGAGACGAAAACATAGAAAAGACTGAAAAACAAGTGAAAAAAAACCCAACTTACAATGATTAGATTTGATTCTCTTTCTTAGGGTAATAAAAGTTTTTGTTTGTTTGTTGTTTGTTTTGTTTTAGCAGAGTGTCATCTGTATGTGGAGCTTTTGCTGATCTGTTACTTTGCCATTCTGGCAAGAAAAAAGTTGAACCTTCTATCATAGCCTAGAACAGGGCTCCATTCAGGACCAGCTAAGCCTACTGGCTTCAGGGAGCCGAGAGGCTGTTCTGGCAGCTAAGCTGTGCCACACTGCAGTCTGAAAGTGCTCTCACACATCGGAACAAGCAGGTCTGATGGATGGATGGCTTGAGATAGTGGTGCTCTGTGTGTACAGCCAGTAGGCCACATTTGACAGAGGGCCTGTATCTGATTTTTAAAGCTAAAGCATCCCTGAGGGAGGCCAGTTGGAATTCAGGTTTTACCTGTCTCCAAATCTAGAACCTAGTTGGAGTTGATAAACCATATACTGTTGTAGGTCACAGAGCTATCAGGAATATGTGTTGCCAGAGAAACTACAGGCTTCCAGCAGCAAATTTGGATGAACAAAATGCTTCTCAAGGTTAGAATTATTGAGGAAATTTGCATTGTGAAGTATTGGATGTTTCTTAACTATCTTTTCTGACAAATTCTCCTGTGGTGTTAGTTTTCAAACACAGTTCTACATTCATTCTGAATACTGAATAATCTTGTGATCCTTTAGCTCTCATTTCCTTTTTTGGGAAAGATTTATCTTTCAATTTAATAATGAATTAATTTATTTGAAAGGTAGATTTACAGAGTAGGGCAGAGTTTTTTTTTTTTTTTTTTTTTTTTATCTGCTATAGATTCACTCTGCAACAGCCAGGGCTGAACCAGGGAGAAGCAAGGATCCTAGAACACCATTCTGTTCTCCCACATGGGTAGCAGGTGTTCAGTGCTTAGGCCATCCTCTGCTGCTTTCCTGGGCACGTCAGCAGGAAGCTAGGTATCTAGATGCTCATGGTCTTGAAGACAGAGACTTAAGTCGCAGTACCACAATGTTCACCCCTGATATCCCCTTTAAGAAACTAAGTCCCAGACACACAGCTAGTCCCCTAAGAAGATATTTCCACAAAGCTTGTGGAAAAGGCTGATGATGATGGAGGGACTCTGCAAGGATTTGAAATTTTTTTTTACCAAAGCAAACTCATTCTTTGCCTTCGATTTTCCGTGAACTTTCTCATGCCCCTTTGCGTGGAGCTGAGATTTAAACTGAAGCCGTGTAGTGCCAGGCTGTGCTGCAGCCCTACTGCAGGTGCCCCCAGTGTGGCACCACCATTTATTTAACCCGAGGCCTTTCTGGTTCTTGGGTTCATTCTCCCCAGTGGTGAAAGTACATCCTTTGCTTCCCCCACCCAGGATTTAGCAGCACAGGGTTCCTGGCTCTTTCATAATCGACTCCTTAATTCTGCGTTTAGTGTTTGGAGAGTGGGAACAATTCACAAGGGGTAGAACAATTATGAACCTAAGCATTGGTTGTGGGATTTGGGTAAATTTCAAACTTCAGATTAATTTCAATTAACGAGGAATTGTTTAGGCCTGTCTCCAGGCAAAACCACAAAGCTCTTTTCCTGCCCAAACTGCAGGCATCTGGCACCTCCCACACCACTGCCTTCTTCCTCTGGAGCCAGCCAGGAGTGTAACCTGATCTTTCTGGTGATGGGGACAATTAAGCAAAGAGGCTTAATGGTAATGGCAGACAACAGGCTCAATGCTGTATGGGCCTTACTCCTATGAAATCAATGGGAGAAAGGAAGGAAGGAAGGGAGGAAGGAAGAGAGGGAGGGAGAAAAGAAGGAAGGAAGGAAGGAAGGAAGGAAGGAAGGAAGGAAGGAAGGAAGGAAGAAAGGAAGGCAAGCAGGCAGGAAGGAAGGAAAGAAGGCAGGCAGGCAGGCAATGGTGGAATCTGAGTCCAGCTTGTGCCTCTTGTGAGTGATGGCAAACAATGCCCCCGGGATATGACTTAAGCAGCAGCTCCTTGGATAACACCTGCAAGGATGAACAAAAATTTCCCTGTAGAAATGCTCATAGGAGAGCCAGTGAACTGACTAAATCCATTGGTTTTGTTGCCTCACATTTAAGTATGTTTGCACACTAAGGAAAGCAAGCTCTCAGCACGTTGACTAAGGTGAAGAATTAACTCTGTGAACAGAGTATTTCAAGATTTCATGGTCTTGGAACCGAGTGGTATAACGGTTGGAGTTAGTGTTTGAGGATGATTATATGATATCTTAAAACATTCATATAATTATAAGGCGATGCCTGCAAGACACAGATGGAATAACACGGGTAGTATACTTGGCTCTGAATAAGAGTTGAACTAAGGAATTTCCCAGAGCAGGACTCCATAGCACTAACACTAGGACAGTTGGGGCACAGGCACAACAGGAGAGTGAGTTGCTTTGCTTGGGAAGCTAGAGAAGTAGAATGAGTGGGGAAGGTAGAAGAGGCAGGGTTAAGGGGAACCTGGAAGGGAGGAGTTTTAAGCAATGTCAGCCAGATCCAACACCACGAGTATTATGAAGTGGTGAGAATAATTGTGGTGAATAATTACATCTAAGTGGGTCTTTTAAAATATGGTGCCTAGAGCATTTTCATTGCTTTAGAGAAATTTTCTTAAAGTTCTTATGCAATTCTCAACCTTACTAAAGCAGATTGTATTCTGTGTAATGCTGCTTTGTCTGACTCAAGCCAATATGCACATCTTTTCCTGCTGGGTTATGATTTGAAGTCTGTATATTTACCAAGAAACCATCAGCTGTTATTTTGTCCACTGCCAAAATCTTCTAGAGAAGTATAGATTTGCTTCTTGTGTGCTGGGTAATGGTAATCAGGTCAATTAATCTTCCCTGAGATAATATCACATCATAATGTCATTTTGTACATCATCATACATCTGATATAAATTATCAGATAAGGTGATCAGGTAGTATCACATTGCCATTATGGGATATCAGGCAGGCCAGAAAGTCCACAAGAAATACAAAACACATTACTGGAATGCAAGGGTTGTACGGTGGTTGTCCTAATTTCCAGTGATCTCCTTTATTTCAGATTTAAGATTATATTGGGGAGATGGGGGGTATAAGAAAGATTATGCTGAGGATAAGACATTTCATTTCTAGACAATTCTATTTAGTTTAATCAAAATGTGTGGAGGAATATTAGATGGTGCTGGCAAATTTAATTTTTCTATAAGGATTTTCTTTTTGATAGATGCATGGCTTGAAAAAAATAAGCAGTATGGTTATAACTTCATTTTGTGTCAAAATTAAGAAAATTAACTAGATTTTAGAAATAGAGAGTTCAGATATCATAACAATTACCAATTGTTGAATATGAAGGTCGATTAAGCACTGTGCAGAAATGTGACTCTTGCCTTCCTTATTAGAAATAATCACCAGAAATATTAAATATTTTTTCATGATTATAACCTATAGATGCTACGTTTTCACAACATTCTCTTGGGAATTATTTTCGCAGCATAGTATTTGATCATTTTAATTGTAGCACATGTTTTATGTCTTGCTGGTTAAATTTTACTTTGATGATAAAGATTGATAACAAGGAGGTAAATTCCATTTTTTGAGAGTAAACAGTGTGAGATTCTACTAAATATGGTTTATGTTCTTCTGTAGCTCAAGCTGAGGGCAGACATCTTGAGGAAAATGCTGTATTAAGGACGTAGTTGGATCCAGCAATCAGCCCACTGACAGTGTGACTATGAAAGACATTTCACATGTTTATAAATAAACTGACCTCTTTAAACCAAACCAAACCCAAACAACAACAACAACAGCAACACGTTTTTTCTTCTGAACTGTGAGGTTAACTTCTCTTTTTGATTTCCGTTTTTTACCTTTGGATTCCAGATAAGTGTTATCTGGATGCATTTTTAGCTAGTGTAGAAATTTGATGACACAAACTTATTTTGTCCAACTTACACTATCTTACATGAAACGAGTAGGTAGGCCTGCATTCGGGCTCGGCAGATGAAGGCTCTGCTGACAATGGCCCTGTACTTTTTACTTGCTGAACTCTCAAAGCACAAACCTTTCATTCTAAGGTAACTTAACACATGGCTATTCCAAAATGCAGAAAAGAACTGTGGAGGAACAGAAACATCATTTTATTCTTAGACTTGTATTTGTGAGCTGCATTCTATCCACTCTCTATTAGTATCACAGTGAGTTATTTTTTAGAGGATAGCACTCGTGACATGAGAATCCCATTTTGAAATACTGGTTTGTCTGAAGCTGCTATTCTGATGGAGGTTCTTGCTAATGTGTCCAGGGGGGCAGCAAATAATGACCTAATCTTGGTCTCTAACCACCCTCAGGCTACCGGGAGGCGGTTCCTCTCTTCAGGCTTTGCTCTGGGCCAGACACGGCTGCTTGTGGAGTCCATTAGTGAATGGAATAACTTTCCCTATGTCTTACCTTCTTTAACTCTACCTTTAAAATAAATACATCAGCAACTCTTTCAAGAAAATCTTTAAAATATATAATAATAAACAGCCTTTCCTCTCCCTTTTAGCTTCTCTCCAGCAACCATTTTTGGAGCCAATTTTCCATACATCAATCTTTAAAAACACGATGAAATCAATTTCTTATAAATATAACACTTTCATAGTTACACAGAATAAGCATCTGAAAACATTGTTACGACATTCATGTTTTTAGCTGTTATGGTGGTAATTTTACAGGTGAGAAAGTCCCGTCA